TTCCGAGGAATCCAGTGTCCTTGTCTGGCCTCCAAATGTACTGCATGTACAAGACGTACACAGGCAAAACAGTCAAACACGTAAAATAAAATAAAAAAATTTAAAAACAAAAAATTAAAGATAAATATGTGTGGAGGCAGGAGGTCGGGGTTAAAGCTCAAATCTATCTTTCAGGCTGAATGGTCCCCATAAACTTGGAATCAGTAAGTACTATTTCATCTCCCAAGAATGAATACCAGTTAGCATTCTTTACATTCTTTTCCCTTGCTTATTATGCCTGGAAAAATACTTGAAACCACAATGCAGGACGGAGAAATTATTTTTGTGCGTCAACGTGCCAGTATTTTCGCTGGAAGAAAGGGGAGATGGTTTTCATAGATCCTCAAGTTATGGTGATTTGACGTTTTTACTTAGAGGACTTATCGCGAATACAGAAAAGGGGAAGACTTCTGCAGAAGAACACTAGCAAAACTAAGCCAATTTTATGTATTGCTCCCTTCCTTGACCTGATAGTTGAAACTTCCTGTTTTGAGGAGTCAGCAGAAAAGACCCCAGAGAGCTTTGAAGTCTGTGGCTTTGAGGAAATGACAGAGCACAGAATATCCCTGTCATAGAACATCTTACAGGACACTCAAGTCACTAGGGACCTGTTCAGTCTTAAGCTTTGCTCTGCCGGGAGCTCAAATACCTCTGTTCAGTTAAAGGTTATCTCTATCCCAAGAACTTGGACCTAACATACTTACTGAGCGTTTGATGGATCCGCTACTTATGCATCTTCTCTAGCCTCCCTCACCCTGAGGCTTTGTGGCTAAGATGTCAGCATTTTGATTGATCTTTAGAGCTAACCAAGCGTCTGGGGTGTTCCACCTAAAAATGGACTGAGAGTCAGAAACATTGGTCTCAGCCTCAAATTACCCATATAGATAGATATCTGTAGTGATATTTCATTTGTATTTTAATAAATAAAGCTGGATTGGAGCTCAGAGAGTAAAACAACCCCACTGGCCAGCCTTACAGACCAGGCAGTGGTGACACACACCTTTAATCCCAGTAGCCACACTATTTGCCACAGAAACTGGGCGGCAGTGGTGCACGCCTTTAATCCCAGCCCTAGGGAGGAATATAAGATGGGAGGAGACAGCGCTCAGACACAGTCTCATTCTGAGATTCCTAGAGGCAGAATCACCATTTTGGACTGAGGTAGAAGTAAGAGCCAATGGTTGACTGTTTTGCTTTTCTGACCTTTAGGTTGAACCCTAATATCAGTCTCTTGAGCTTTTATTAATTGTGCTATAGATATCAGTGTGTGATCTCGGTTGGGCCACTTACCCCCACTAACCCTCTACACTCACTGTAACTTGAGGGCCGGCTGTGGGGATTCCTGTCCTGTCCGGTTCCCACAGCCAGCAAGTCCCAAGAAAATCACACAGAGGTCTCCATAAGAATATAAACTGATTGGCCCATTAGCTCAGAGTTTTTATTAGCTCTTATCACTTATATTAACCCATTATTCTTATCTCTCTTAGCCACACGGATCAGTACCTTTCTCAGCCAGGCAGATCACATCTTGTTTCTTCTGTGGTCTGGGCAGGACTGGGGAATGGGCTTCCTCCTTCCTAGAATTCTCCTGTTTCCATCACCCTGCCTCTACTTCCTGTCTGGTTGACCCACTTATACTTCCTGCTTAGCCAATCAGCGTTTATTCAAAACATGATTGACAGAACATAGACAATTCTCCCACACCAACTCACCCTCATCAATGTTCTAATTACCCGCTGATTATCAGGCCTAGTGGCCTTTGCTATTACAGCCTTATTTGACTGATCACTGTGCTCTCCCTCCTTACCCTTCATGATGTACCTTTGGGTTTTCCTACCACCTGTCAGCAGCTTATTATGCCAGCTTCACACATCTACATAATGTATTCTGACCATATACAACCTAGTACCTTTTCCTATCCCCCTTGCGTCCCCCTGCTGAACTCCTTCGTGGATTTATATTTCTCATGTCTTCGGATCCTTTACCATACTCACTTGTCCACCTCTAGCATTTAGTATCTGCATCAAGAACTCAGTTATTTAGATTTAAAATTGCTTTCCCTGCACAGCCTCACCCAAGGTGAGACACTAAAGTTCCAGGCATTCATCCTGAGACTCAGACTACAGACTTCATATTTTCATCCAGCAAAAGCCCAAAAATGTAACCTCAACAGGTCCTAGTCCCAATGACTATCATGTCTCCTCCTCACACTTCCCAGATCAGGTCATCTTGGGTGAAGCTGATGTTACTAGTTTGTGATTGATGATTTAAGTAGTAATTTTGAGAAGCAAGGATTTTTTTCTCATAACTTCAACCACTAGATCAGGTCGTGTGGGTTCTGCCTTGTCTAATTTCCTTGCTCTTTATCATCCTTGCCTTCACTTCCCTAATTCAAGATCAACAAACCCTTCTTCTCTCGCCCCCTACCCTTTATACCTTGCTTGACCCCACTAACTTCTCTTACGTACGCCTCCCACAGAGGCCTTTTGTCAAAGAGTGTGGGACTCTTGCACAGCTCCCTATGTCTAAAAAGACTTAAGCTCTTCTGTTTGTACTCTAGACCCTTTATGATCTGGCCTCAGACTTTCTCTCCACTCTCATCCTCCAGGCTTCTCCCCACATCTCTTGCTCTCCGATTATACCTTTTATTTCTCCAGACTCAATACGTTGACCCATGTATCCTTTCCTCCCTGGTATATGCTCCTTCTGATGGAATGCCATTCTAAACCGCAACATGGCTTTTTGTGTGTTTGTTTTCTCCTTCTCCTAGGTTCAAGTTCACTGGACCTTCTTGCAGTTTATCCCTTATCCTCAATGTGCACTAGTGACCACAACAATTTACAGCTATTTACAGGTTTCTGTCTTTACACTTTTTAAGATTTATTTTTAATTACATATATTTGTGCGGGGCTGGGGCTGTCTGTGCAGGTGAGTGCAAATGCCAGAAGACCTTGCTCTTCAGCAGAGGCCAGGAGAGGTTATCAGATCACCTGGAGCTGGAGTTGCAGGTGGCTGTGAGATGACCAACACAGATACTGGGAACCAAACTCAGACCTTCTGCATGAGCAGTATTGGCTCGTAACTACGGAGCCACATTTCCAGCCCTTGCATTTATATTTTTGCTGTGGCCTCGCCGTAATCAAAACATACTTCCCGAGATCTTCACTTTGCACTTGGCTAGTGTCTTGCTTCATAGAACCTCAGAAGCAGAGATAATATACTACATCTAGGCCCCTTTAAGGAATCTGCTAACACTGCTATGAAAAGAATGATTCTGAGTTTGTCCCAGGAAAAGGACCTGGACCAGAGCTTCTCCAATGAGTTGACCTAACTGAGTCTAGCTTCAATCAGTTGACCTTCCGGTGTGAATGCTCACTTATTATGTGAAATTGAGATTGGTGGCTATTCAGCTTATTGTAGCAGTAGCTTAGCTGGTCTCCTGGGGTTACTATTGCTGTGATGAAACACCATAACCTAAAGCAACTTAGGGAGGAAAGCAGTTATTTTGCTTCCTATTCTGAATCACAGTCCACCGAGGGAAGTCAAAGCAAGAACTCAAACCTAATGGAATCCTAGAGTCCTGGAGCTGATGTAGAGGCCATGGAGGGGTACTGCTTACTGACTTGCTCCTCGCAGCCTGCTCAGTCTGCTTTCTTATAGAACCCAGGACCACCAGCTCAGGTATATCCCTGCCCACTAGGCTGACCCCCTCTCCATTGATCACTATCTAAGAAAATGCCCTATAGACTTGCCTGCCTACAGCCTGGTCTTATGGAGGCGTTTTCTCGGTTGAGGCTCCCTTCTCTCAGCTGACTTTAGCTTGTGTCCCGCTGACACAGAGCTAACCAAGGCAGCTGTCTCTCAGGTGTGGCCTATCACTCATTCTCCCACAGTGCTCTTGCCTTCTTACTTTCTGCTGCTCTCCAAGAAAATTAAAAAAAAAGCAATGCCAGCACCTTGATCTTCTGCCATTCCTATCTAGCACATCTCCGCTTCCAGCTGAGAACTGAATTCTGCATGTGAAGACTGCCCTTTGAAGGGAAGATCTGAGGCTGGAGATGGGTTCCAGGGAGAGAGCACTAGCAGCACAGGTGCTAGCTGCTGAGTTCCCATCATCAGCACCCACCTGTAAATACAGTGCCTTGGCTGCTGGGGACAAGAGGGACCCCCCAACCCCCCCAGGGCTGACTGCCTTCCGGGCAATGTTCAAGTTCAATGAGAGACACTGTTTCAAGGCGGGACACCTAGTATCCTCCTCTGGCCATTAGGCACACGGTTGTGTGTACACCACACACATGCATGCACACACACACAGAGAGAGACAGAGACAAAGAGCCAGACACAGACACACACAGAGACAGAGAGGGACAGAGACAGAGGGACAGAGATAGACAAAGAGACAGAGACAGAGATAAAGAGACAGACAGACAGAGAGACAAAGAGAAAGAGACAGAGAGAGAAAAAAACAATCATTCTGTCTGATTTATCACATTTACCTCAGATAATGGAACCTTCAACCTTTTTCTTTAAGGAGTAAATTCTCTAACCCAAACAATATGTTTTTGAGTATGATATCTACACATCTTTTATTAACAGATAGGAGAATTGTGGGGACAAACATCTGATTGTCTAACTTTAACCTTCGTCTGTCATAGAGATCAGCGCTTTTGGATCAGGGAGACCTTGAAGTGCTTTGCAAGTAAAAGTCCATTAACTTCTCATTGCTTTTGTTCAAAATGCCTCTTTGCATAAGCAAAGATTTGAGAATTTGTCTATCAAAGGTTCGGTTTTCCAGATAATTCTGTCTTGTACAAGGGAATGTAGGTCAGGCCTTTGTCAGTAAGGGAGGAAATCTGAGAGGTGTGGTCTTGGGACCATGCCAAAGACAAAAGAGGCGCTCACATTCCACACTCTCTGCCAAACCCAGAGGAAGGAGCAGTGGAGGAGCTTGTGGGAGTCCAGAAAAAGGCAATCTGGGGAGCCACTTCCCACACTCATGAAAAGGATTGGTGTAGCTGCTTAGAGTCATCCAACCTTGAGCATGCTAAGGGCCAGTCATACTGGTAAGATTTGGACAACCTCTGTCATAAAACTTTTCACATTGTGATGAAGGAATTTTGTATTTAATTCCTTTGTGTTTTATAGGCAAGTGGCAAGCCTTGTGATGCTGCGGGGACACAAAGAGTGACGACTGTGGTCATGATAAAGCTCTCTGGAAGACATGATTATCCTGTTATATTCTAGGAAAACTCCAAAGGAAAAGTATGTATATTATTATCATGTATTCCTATAACATACTTGTCCAAAGTGACTGTTATGGAAGTTAAATCGATTTTTTAAAAATTTTTCTACTTTTCTATCCTGCCCAGCGCCATGGCAGACTAAGTGCAGCCAAGAGACTCACATGCGGGACCACCCCAGGCTTTGAGAAGAAAGCATGGGCCCTATTACGGTGAACAAACGTAAGGTGTGTTGTGGGAGAGAGAGAGAATGGTTCGTTTTATATGGACAGAGGCAGATCTAAAGAGATGAGAGAGGTGAGGAGCAGGCTGAGGTGGGTGACTCGCATGCCACCTGGGGCCATGGTAATGTCTAGGTCCGGGCTGCTGCTGGGGCCCATGTCTAGGTTCATGGCTCTGATGCAGTCATGGTCTGTGTTGACGCCGGAGGCTCCTAACACCACCAAAGGCAGAGAGGATAGGGCTGTGCAGAGTTGGCCCCACCCCCCACTGACTGTAACACTAGAGAGAACTGGTCCTGCCCCTGACGGGCTGAAGCACTCAGGACAGAGGATCCAACATCTCACCTCGGCAGCAAAATAGAGCTGATCCTATTCGCCGGAGGTGTGTGCAAGCTGGCCCTGAGGGTGTGAGAAAGGAAGAGCAGGTTGCACCCTCTCTTTTGCCATGTGGTGGCATGGATGAAGGAAAGATGCCTTCCTGCCCTGACCCAAGCCTTCACCAGCAGCATCATTCGGGAGAAGGGGCCCTGCATCTTGCCTGGACAGCACAATAGAGCCAGCCCTGTTGTTGGAGGTGTGGGTGAGCCAGCCCCAAAACTGTGAGCATGGGAGAGTGGCCCTCACTATTCATCTGTCATGTGTCGATGTGTTGATGTTGGCAGGGGAGAGATGCCCTCCTTACCCCTTGCCTTCATTGCCCACAAGGGAGTCAGTCGACCCTCCCCCTTACCAGCTGCAACACTCAGGAAACCAGGCCCTGCTCCTAGCCTGGGTAGCACAGTAGAGCGGCCCCTAGTGGTGGAGGAGTAGATGAGCTGGCCCCCAGGGTGTGATGGTGGAATAGCTGGGCCAACCCCCCCCCCCCCCCCCCCCAATAAGGCAGAGTTAGTCATTCCACCACTGTAA